CGTAAATGGCTTGGAACCAACATATCTTTGATGTTTCTTCCTCTTCTTGCTGTGAACGATGCATATGGTGTTATAACTTTCTGTAGGTGGTGAGCTTGTAACAAAATCTATTTAGAATTTTAAGCGTTGGATGCCACCCTATGCATCTTATCAATTGTGTATTGTCATTTGTACATTTATCAACCAGGAAGGTTTCCCTATCTGTCATCAGAGCTCGTTGATATGCATTTTTCAGGCATCTATTCAGATACCCTTTCCTTTTGAACTGTTCTTTTAAAGTCTTTCCTTTGTTCTTAAAGTCCTCAATTGTGGAACAATTACGACGTAGACGTAGGTATTGGCCCACTAGTATCCCTCTTTTAAGGGGGAATGGATGGTAGCTCTCCCAATTCAGAAGGTTATTTGTCGAAGTCGGTTTCTTAAAAAGAGTGGTAGTCACATTCCCATCAGTGATCATAATTGAGATATCCAAGAAGTTAATGGCCCTGCCGCCAATTTCAAAAGTCAATTTCAAATTAATATCGTTGTTATTCAAAGCGTGGACAAATTCCTTAAAGAGTTCAATGGTATTCGTCCACACTATCACTATATCATCGATATATTTCGTTTCCAAATACTAATGTATTTGGTATATTTTATCAGATGGGTACTAAATACAGTGGTCTTCTCCCACCACCCCAGGTGGAGGTTAGCATATTAGGGGGCACAAGCCGTCCCCATAGCTGTGGTAGTATTTACCCTCAAACATAAAATAATTATGTGTTAAGATAAATTCCATGAGGTCTTGTACTAACTGATTGTGCCTTCTGGAAGTGGTTGGGTTGTTATCAAGATGGGCTTTCAAATGTGCCAACCCTGTTTCATGTGGAATAGAGTTATAAAGACCCTCCACATCCAGACTACATAAGATTGCATTTACAGGAAGGTTAATACCATCAAACACCTTCAAAGTATGTTTGGTGTCTCTTAGGTATGATGGTAGATCAATGACAATCTTCCGTATAATATGGTCAACATACAGACTCACATTCTGGGTTAGATTAAAGTTACCGGAGACAATAGGTCTACCACTCATAGTTTCTTGTTGTTTATGTACCTTTGGTAACGAATAGAAAGTTGCAACCACTGGATTTTTGATATACATAAACAGATATTCATCTTTAGAAATGAGTGACAGGGGCAGTGTTTCATCCAAAATCATTTTTAATTCAGATAAGTATCTTTTGGTAGGGTTATTGCTTAATATGCCATATGTATCATCATCTTGAAGTATCCTATGTGCCATAGACACATAGTCATTTCTATCAAGGATCACAAGATTACCACCTTTATCAGAGGGTTTAAAGATTATTTCATCAATTCCCTGTAGATGTTTTCAGAGATTCACATTCTTGAAGAGTGATATTACTATATGGGAAAACCTCAAACTCCTTTTTATCCAGATTCTCTATCTCATTGCAAGTCAGTTCCTTGAATAAGTTGATATACTTAAATTCTGCCAAATATGGTGTAAAGGTACTTTTCTTTTTAAGTTGTGTAAAAGATGCTTGTGGGTTTGTTTGTGTTTCATTGCTTGATAAAAGTTCAACCAGTGTGTCCAGCAAATCCACATCGGACGGTTGTAACACCAAATTGTTAGCTCTTTTTTCATCTTTTATATGGTGGAACTTATGTAAAGCAAGCTTTCTTGCAAAGAGATGGATGTCCTTTGTCCAGCTGAATTTGTCAAACTCAGGTACTGGGACAAAGGACAAGCGACGTTTAAGTACTTGAGTTTCGGATTCAGAGAGTTTGTGTTTTGAGAGGTTGATGATTTGATTTGAATCTAATACCTTCTCCTCCGAAAGGTGTGTGGGGGTCTGGAGCGACTGTTTTTCTAACATTTGTTTGCTCTGTGTTTGTTTTCTGTTTTTCTTACTTTGCTAGTCTCCTGTTTTATTTTGAGGTAGTTTGACCACCATGTACTTCCATTTACCCATCATAATGACATTCATAAGGAAAAGTAGATATCATGGGCTATATCATATTATGTAGTAATGAAAGATGCATAAAAGGTGATATTTAATGGAAATTTTATTTTTATTTTTTAAGCTAATTAAGATGGTACTTAATGAGCAGTTTGAACTATAGGCAATTTCATGGAAATGAAACATTCAGACTTTTCGGTTGCAAATTGTTGGTATTTCAACTTCAAAATAGTCACATTCTTGCAAACTTGCTTTGACTCATCCTTATTAACAATGTGCTAAATAGCTTTAGCAAAACTCATGTAGTTTACATATTCCAGTATGGAAAGTAACAGAGCTACATTTGCATAAAACCTGAGCATAATGAGTCTTTCTTTTCTCATTTGCAAATGCTGTGTTACTTCTGATGTATTATGTTTATGTCATGTTGCACCCAAAAAATAAGCTAAAATGAGTGTAAAAGGAAGCACATGTGCTGTTATATGCACAAAGAGATAGTGAATGTTTAACTGTTTGTTTGCCATGAAATCAGGGATGTAACTATGTCTTTTAAATTAATTTGTGAATTTAATGGCACAATGACATACAGCTGTATACATCCAATCAATAATCCCATGTTCACTATATGTGATACACATATTTATTTCGATGTAAAGGAACATTTGTAAATAAATAATACTCTTACATACAAATATTTACCCTTGAGTAATCTAGGCTTAGATATTCTTCTTTGTATGTGTTTATATTCTAAATTTCAGTTAATAACTTTGCATTTTTTTATCTTAAAAACATATTCCAGCAGTACAAATACAAAACCTTGAAATGCTGAAGTGTTGTTAAGACTATTTAAATTATTGTAAAGACAAAAGGGAATTGGGGGCACAACCAGAATATTCATTTTGCAGGAATGGTGCTGACCGTAGTGACCAAAATGTATAAAACAAAACATACAGGTTAAGGAACAGCGCACATAAAAATAAATGTAAACTTAAAAACACCTATCTCAGCAAAGAAATATGGGGCTTCAGTTCAACCATAGGGCCATATTGTGTTTAACCCACCACTACCTCACAATACCCCAATATCAGGGAGTTCTACACTAATTCCAACGTGAGAGACACAATTTGTGTGAGTGCATGTGTTTTATCTGGCACTGTTTGTATGGCAGTGTGTATCTGCTTGTGTGTGTATCTAGCAGTATGTGCATGTGTGTATCTGGCAGTATGTGCATGTGTGTATCTGGCAGTTTGTATACATGTGTGTGTCTGGCAGTGTGTGAATCTAGCTGTGTATATTGATATTTGTGTGGGTGTCTATGTGTGGGCATTTATGTCTGTCAGGGAGTATACATTTTTGTGCATATATCCATGAGTGAGTGTGAAAAACATATCTGTGTGTGTCTGCGAGTGTTTTATCTGTGTTTGAATGTTTATTCCATGTGAGGTGGATTTTATGTGCTGTAAGAGTTCTGGGAGCACAAACCCTTTTTAGCAATGTATTTTTTGTTTTAAAAGGGTAAAAAGGGGTTTATCAAACTTCTGTGATTACCCTTAAATAGAGTTGAGCGGACACCTGGATGTTCGGGTTCGGGATCAAACTTGACCCCGAACCCCATTGAAGTCAATGGGGACCTGAACTTTTGGGCACAAAAATTGCTCTAAAAAAGTCCTGGAAAGGGCTACAGGGCTGCAAAAGGAAGTAAAATGGGGGTAAGAGTAGGACAAGTGTCCTGCAAACAAATGTGGATAGGTAAATCTTAAAATAACATAAAAATTAAAAATAATCTGATCTTATTCATTGTCGTGGCTGCATCTTGCAGCTGCTTAGTAGATAGCTCCCTAATTCCCACGGTATCAGGGAGCTATCTACCAAAAGGCTGAAAGACCTAAATTGGTCTTTCAGCCAAATTTACTAATACTAAGTAAAGATTACTTAGTATTAGTAAATTCAGCCCCTACTCGCTATACCGCAAGTAGGGGCATGTCTAGAAAGCAGTGAGCAGCTTGTGGCTGCTCACTGTAAAAAAACAACAACTATTGCCTCGACCCCTGTGCAATGGGCGGGGGCTCTAAATAAGAATGTGGAGGGGGGGGACCTACTGTCCTCCCTGCCTGACCCCCACACATGAGCGGTGGGTGGGGGCCATAAATAACAATATTACTGTACCCCCCCGGTCTCCACCCCTGAGAGGTGGGTGGGGGCCATAAATAAGATGGTGGGGGGACCTACTATCCTCCCCCCTGGACCCCACCCCTGCACGGTGGGTGGGGGCCCTAAATAAAAATAAGGGGGTGACCTACTGTCCTCCCCCCGGAAGCCCCCCCGGCGTTACAGCCCCCCTGCGGCAGCAGCTCTCGCCGTCACCCTACTGTACCCCCCTGGTCTCCACCCCTGAGAGGTGGGTGGGGGCCATAAATAAGATGGTGGGGGGACCTACTATCCTCCCCCCTGGACCCCACCCCTGCACGGTGGGTGGGGGCCCTAAATAAAAATAAGGGGGTGACCTACTGTCCTCCCCCCGGAAGCCCCCCCGGCGTTACAGCCCCCCTGCGGCAGCAGCTCTCGCCGTCACCCTACTGTACCCCCCTGGTCTCCACCCCTGAGAGGTGGGTGGGGGCCATAAATAAGATGGTGGGGGGACCTACTATCCTCCCCCCTGGACCCCACCCCTGCACGGTGGGTGGGGGCCCTAAATAAAAATAAGGGGGTGACCTACTGTCCTCCCCCCGGAAGCCCCCCCGGCGTTACAGCCCCCCTGCGGCAGCAGCTCTCGCCGTCACCCGGGGCCAAGGGAGCAGACCTCCCCCCAGCCTGCCCGTCCCGCTGTCTCCCGGGGCTGCGGGCCAGCAGGGCGGGGAGGGGGGACGGGGTCCCCCGCTCCCGGCGTGGCCGTCAACCGGGGCGGACTGCCCTCAGTGCACCCCAGCCGTTCAGCGCCGCCGAGGCGGGAGGGCCCACATACCGGTGGGCGCCAGGGGTCCACGGCCACGTCGGTGGCCCATCCGACCAGTCTTGAAACACGGACCAAGGAGTCTAACGCGCGCGCGAGTCAGAGGGCTCGCAGCCAGACCCCGCGGCGCAATGAAGGTGAGGGCCGGGGCGCCCCGTCCGGGAGGTGGAGCGCGAGCGCGCGATAGGACCCGAAAGATGGTGAACTATGCCTGGGCAGGGCGAAGCCAGAGGAAACTCTGGTGGAGGTCCGCAGCGGTCCTGACGTGCAAATCGGTCGTCCGACCTGGGTATAGGGGCGAAAGACTAATCGAACCGTCTAGTAGCTGGTTCCCTCCGAAGTTTCCCTCAGGATAGCTGGCGCTCGCCCTAAATAAGAATGTGGAGGGGTAGACCTACTGTCCTCCCCGCCTGACCCCCACCTCTGAGCGGCGGATGGTGGCCCTAAATAACAATAAGGGGGGGACCTACTGTCCTCCTCCCAGCGCCTACCCCTGAGCAGTGGGTGAGGGCCCTAAATAAGAATGTGGACCTACTGTCCTCCCTGCCTGACCCCCACCTCTGAGCGGCGGATGGTGGCCCTAAATAACAATAAGGGGGGGACCTACTGTCCTCCACCCTGGCCCCCACTCCTGAGCAGTGAGTGGGGGCCCTAAATAACAATAAGGGGGGGACCACCCCTGAGCGGTGGGTGGGGGCCCTAAATAAAAATTTAACCCCCCCAAACTCCTAGTCAACCTCTCCCCACAAAAAAATAACCCCTACCTACCTCTCTCATCCTAAAAATAATGAGGGGGGACCCTTATCTAAAAACCTGTAAAAAAAAAAATAAAAAAAAAATAGACTTAACATTTGTTGTTGCAAAAAAATAATAATCCATTTTCACCCATGGAGGGCTCCTCACAGAATGAGCTCTGCAGGGCGGGGGGAAGGCTTATTATTAGGCTCAGAACACTCTGGTGGGTTTAAGCCATCCAATCAGAGTGCTCTGATAGGTAAATGAAGAGACTGACAGGTAAGTCTCTACATTTACCTGTCACAGCTCTCTGTTTGATTGGCTTGAAATCCTCCAATTAGAGTGCTCTGTGTCATTTTATACAGCGTGGGAAAGTTCTTTGGAATTTTCCCACGCTGTGTAATTTGACTCATAACACTCTGATTGGTGGATTAAGTAACCAATCAGAGTGTTAGGAGTCAAATTACACAGCGTGGGAAAATTCCAAAGAACTTTCCCACACTGTGTAAAATGACACAGAGCACTCTGATTGGTGGATTTCAACCAACCAATCAGAGTGCTGTGACAGGTAAATGAAGAGACTTACCTGTCAGTCTCTTCATTTACCTGTCAGAGCACTCTAATTGGATGGCTTAAACAGACCAATCAGAGTGCTCTGAGCCTAATTGCAGTGCGGGGCAAGGCTTTATAAGCCTTCCCCTGCCCTGCAGAGCTGAGTCTGCATGGAGCCCTCCACAGGTGAAAATGGATTATTATTACCATCAAATGGTAAGTTTTTTTTTTTACAGGTATTTAGATAAGGGTCCCCCCTCATTATTTTTAGAATGAGGGGGGTAGGTAGGGGTTATTTTTTGGGGGGGTTTAAATTTTTATTTAGGGCCCCCACCCGCTGCTCAGGGGTGGGGGCCAGGGGAAGGACATTAGGTCCCCCCCATTTTTATTTATGGCCCCCACCCACCACTCAGGTGTGGGGGCCAGGGAGGAAGACATTAGGCCCCCCCCCAATTTTTATTTATGGCCCCCACCCACCACTCTGGGGTGGAGGCCGGGGGGGAGGACAGTGGGTGGGCGCCTTATTGTTATTTAGGGCCCCCACCCGCCACTCAGGGGTGGGGGCCAGGTGGGAAGACAATAGGTCCCCCCCTTATTGGTATTTAGGGCCGGGTGGAGGACAATAGGTCCCCCCTTATTGGTATTTAAGGCCCCTACCCGCTGCTCAGGGGTGGGGGCCAGGGGGGGCAATAGGTTCCCCTTTTAGTTTAAAAGCCCCCATTTGCGCGTCGCGGTTAGGGCTCAGAGGGGGTAATGTTTTTGGGTTTTTTAACAGTGAGCAGCCACAGGCTTCCACTATTTAATAGACATGATCCTACTCGTGGTATAGCGAGTAGGGGCATAATTTAATAATACTAAGTAACCAGCTTATATAGAGGTTGGATCACATGCTGCACTGGCCAATCACAGCCATGCCATTAGTTAATTGCTTGTTGATTGGCTGCCTTGCAGTCTTTCAAAATGCGCCATTAAATTGCCAAACACCGAACTCCAACCCGAACATACAGTGAAATGTCCGTGTTCGGGTCCTGGGTTCAAAAATCTTAATGTTTGGTACGAACCCAAACTTTACAGTTCGGGTTCGCTCAACTCTACTCTTAAACATACTTAACTGCAATGTCAAACAAAATTGACAGTATTATAGAAAGGCTGTTGTTATTGAGTATTTCAATAATACATAGTACTTAGTAATATAAGCAAGATAGCAATATTTATTTCTCCTTGAATAAGCTGCAGGTAAAAAATTACTTACCGTGAATTGTATAAAAATCAATAGAATATATACAGTTGACAAAATGTGGACAATGCATACGAACATGATCTAAGTTGGATACATTTACTGTAGTGATAACATATAGCCTTTTTTTATTGAATTGACACCATTCACACCTAAGCATTAAAACATTGTCTAACTTTGAATATTTCCTTTATTTTTAAAAATTCAAAAGTACACAAATGATGGGGTGCAAATTAAAATACTAAGATGTGATAAAAGCTGGACGTTTAATGTAGTAGAAAGGAATTATTTGAATCTGTCACAAAACTAATGTAACGGGACAAGATGGGCCGGTCCTACCTTTCCTCACACACTGCTCCAAGTCAAGCCAAAAAATTTTTAAGAGCATGGACAGGCGGGCATAGACTCAGCTAACCGCATGCTAGCTTGTAGACTACAACAATTAGTAGAGCAGGGGCACACTCAGCTAACACTAGCACTAGCCTTTCGAGATGGCAACATAGCAGATGACACTAACTCCGAGTGTAGGGGACATTTAGAAAGGGTACGCTTCATGAGGCCACATTAATGCCAAGGACAGTGCTCCTAACTTAGCCACTTACATAACACAACACAACATCGCAGTACTAAATACAACCACTGTTTTGCTGAAGTTGTTTTCCATGAGACGTTATGCATACTTAATGTTTCACAGGCATGTTATAATAGTTATACATTATATGTTGCCGTATCACTGTTTGGCATCAAAAAACAAAAATAAAGATTGTAAAATAAAACAAAAAAAAAACTAATGTAACTAAAAAGGAATTAAACTTGTTATTGTAATTTATTGCATGCTTGTTTGCCGGTTATGTACATACATTCTGTTTAATATTGATAAAACATATAAAAAAGATTTTTAGATTTGTTTCTCCAATTCTTGGAGATTAATTCCATCCAAACTGCTATATGGTCAAGTTCGGGCCAATTGGTGATCATCCGAAATTCTGATTTCAGAGTGCTATGCATCAAAATCATGGAGGTACTGACCTACAGAAGCCTGAAAATGCACATTTTCATTCTTAATTTGTGCCATTCCTTGCACCAGAAAATAGGTAGATGGCATGGGGAAGAGGCTTAATTTGCCATGGTGGACAAGAGGTAAGCAAAATCATTTGGGGTGGAGGCTAAATTTGGTATAAGGAGCAGTAAGTAACATTCTGAATGTTATGGAATAGAAGTTCCTGTCACCTTCCTAAGAATATCCCCAACACGCTGCCAACTGTCAGGATCTCTGTAGATGCCCAACACGCAGAACTTAAGTAGATATAAATCAAATACCTAAGACGTATTACCGGACCTTAGAATGGCCGGATTTAACGTAAAAAAAATGCAAATGACAAAAGAAAGGGAAAAGCCAAGACAAAGGTATAACGCAAACGAAAAGCTACCTGGCTACTGATTAGCATAACATCAATATCCGTTTAAAACCAGGAAAAGATGGGCATGGATGGTGAACTGATTTGGTGGTGCAATGGGCCACTTGACTGGTTTTGCCCCCCAGGCCTAAGGCTGCCAGCCCTCCCCTGCTGACCACAGAGGTCCCGGCAGCAGACACCACCCTGTACAAGCTTCTGGATGACCTAAAGTCCACCATCAGGTCAGACTTCCAAAAATTGGCGGCTGAAATTAGGCGGGAAGTGCAAGCTATAGTGGAACGTACAGCACATTTAGAAGACAAAACTGAGGAGATAATACAGACACATAACACACTAGCTGATGCCTATACTGACTTCTACACACAATTACAAACGTTACATACAAAAATCACAGACCTGGAGGATAGAGCCCGCAGGAACAACATCCGCCTGCATGGCATATCGGAGGAGATCAAAGCGCAAGATTTAAAGGCCAGTTATTTCAAACTTTGCTACCTGATGCCTTGGTCCAGGAATTGGAGCTGGATAGGGCCCATAGGCTACTAAAACCCAGAAATGTCCCTGCTGCGGTGCCAGGGGACGCCATTGTCCGGGTTCATTTCTATGCTACTGAAGAGCGATTGATGCAGGCAGCCAGAGACCCGGCGAAGATGGCTGGCAAGCACACAGGCCTACAACTTTTGTGGATCTGTCCCGAGCTACGCTGACCAAGAGACGGTCCTTTAGCACCATCACCAAGGCATCGAGAGAAGAGCAGATCCCTTACAAGTGGGGATTTCCCACCCCACTCATCATACACAAAAATGGCACCGACAGGGTTGTCTCATCACTGGAAGAAGGGCATAAACTGCTGGGGCAGTGTAACATACAGCTACAGGCGGATCCATCACCCACCAAAGGCTTGGAGCAGGCAACAACCAGCATCACAGGGAACTGGCAGAGAGTTGTGGCAGCCAAGTGACCCAATGCTACAGGATGCCAGGACACCATCCCTGCACGCGACGCGGAACCGCGAGCTGTCCACGGACTGGGTGCAGTATTACCTACCTACATGCAACTGCGTAACTCTTTTGCTACTTTTCTACATTTTTACCTATCCATCACACCTATAATATCCTTATATATAGAACCAAAAAAAAAAAAATAACAAAAAAACAAATATATTCAAATCGAAACAAAACAAACAGAATCTAAAAAAATTTTTAAAAAAACATTTTTTTAATGATCATAATGTTACTGTCTCGCCGACCCTCATGGAGACCGTTGTTGGTGGGGCTCGAGATTGAGGCTTTAGTGCTCTATACTTTCTCTTATTTTGAATTACTCACGCTCCCACCAGGCTCACCACTGAGCCATTGCTGTGTGATACTTTCACACTGTAATTTTT